CCCAAATCGTTTTGTTATTCCACAATTCTATGAGAAAATAGGTATTACCTTGTGGGAGCAGCTGCTGGTGGCTGCTGCCCGTAGGCCGGGTACGCGGGCTGGGTGCCGTAGGCAGAGGGTGCTGCGTAGGACGCCTGGGTGGTGGTAACCGTCGCGGTGTTGGTGTCATAGGGGGCTGTGCCGTATCCCTGCACGGGCTGGCTGTACGCTGGGGGGGCAGTCGGGGTGCTGTAACCTGCAACAGACAACCGCCCAACACTCGCATCAGGCTGGTGACCTTCCAACCACTGTGCTTCTGTTGGGGGTTCATCAGACCTCAGGTCCAGCATCGATTTTACCCCTGCAGGAACATCACAGATGAGCTGAAAACGATGGGCTGACCCACACCTCTCCTTGGAGAACCCCCTCCTCCCCTGGAAAGCCTCATCCCACAGCCCCAGCAACACCCTCACCACCCAAAACCACACTCCCAGGAGGTTTCTGGAAGCTGTATTTCAACCAGCATCCAAATGGGGTTTGATCACAGCTAGGGAAGCCCACGGCCGCTGTAATAAAGCACACACAGGGCACACTGAGGCTTCTGAACACAGGAAGGCTACCAAGCTCTGAAGTAAGAGAGTTGAAGAAGTACAGTCCCATCCTTTTGGCTTTCTTTGAGAAACAGAAGCATCAAATAGCACCAGCCTGGCTTGAGAAAAGTCTTCTGTGAGGCATTTAGGAAGTCTTATTTTAAATCACTCACTCTGGAAACAGAAGACAACACTTTACAGTTGCTTTAACTGAAGAGAAAGGTCAAAAAGATCACCCAGTGGTTTATGTACCTTCACTTTGGTTGGGATTTGCTTGGTTTAGGTAAAAAGCTTTGAGCTCATACCTTTATTTCAGACTAATTTTACAATATCCAAGATCCCAAAGCAGCTCCATTTAAATGAGTGTTTCCAGCACTGTGTAATCTCATTTGGCTTATCACAAGGTTGACCTGTCAACCTGGTACGAGCACGACGGCTTTTGATAGTCCAGAACCATGCAGGTGGGTTTTCAAACTATGAAATGGAGACTTCCATGAGAAAAATCAACTCCATAATTATCAGAATCAATAACTGATGGCAAAATGGCCATCAAATATCCTCTGCAAAAGCTGACTTACTACAAATACAGAAGATCGACTGCCAAAGAGCTCAGTGTCTGGGTCTTACTGACGTGACATTAAGGTACAAGTACGGTGGCAGCTTCTCCCCTTAGTTTTAACAACGATGGGACACGAGTGCCAGCCTCTTCCTCTAATTCTGCAGCAATTCAGGTAATTGTGCTGTGGCTTCTACTACAACTCCCTCATTTACAAAGCAAACGGAGTTCCAGTGGAATACAGAGTCCCTTCAGGAAGTGCCGCAGGACTTCCGCATCTCACTGTCCTGCTGCAAACCCAGGAGCCTTCCCAAGGGTGCTGGAATCCCCAGGAACAGGAAGGGAAGTGAGAGGAGGAAGTTTGCATCTACAGAAACCCCAACTTCAGCTTTCTGTCCCAAGTGCTGCTCCTGGAAAAGGGGGCTCCAAGGGGACACAAACCTGTCCCCTCCTGTCACCTGCAATAACCAGCCTAAAACCTGCTGCCACCACACTCCTCACAGCACCAGCCTCCTGCTGGACACCCCAGGCTGGATTCCACACCGCAGGGCTGCCACCCTGGACACATCAAGCTGGTCTCCCACTGGGAAACAATGTGCATGAACCACTATAACCTGTTTCAGGGTCAGTTTTCCTTTCTGCTGAGGGGTTCTCTGAAAGCAGAGTCCTGTTCTGAGTGTTGCTGAATGGGATGATGCTGAGAAGGACAGAATATGTGTGATTTGGAGCCTCAGACAAACTGAAACAGCCCAAACACTTCACTGTGAGCCACCACAGCATTTCATCAGAGAGCAGTGACACCAGAAGTTAAATGAATCCTTATTTTAACCAGCTGCAGCCTGACCACAGGCTAAAAAAGCATCTTGTTTGCATAAGTACAGCCTGCATAAGTGCTGCTGGAGCCACAGCCCTGCCCTGGGCTGCTCTGCCCAAACCTGGAGCCTTAGGGGTGGTCCCCCCATGCCTGGACCCCATTCTCAGCACTGTTATGGGCAGCACTAACCTCTCCCACCAAGCAAAGGAGGTTTTTGTGACCACTTGGAACAATCACGCTGACTTTCAATGCTTCAGCTCGAGATGGAGCTTTCCCTTTGTGTGAGTGTGCCCAGAGGGAAGGTTTTGTACCAGAGGACAGGCAGTGAGTGGTTTAACATCCTGCTGGGCTGCCACTTCATTCAACACTGAGTTTGGGTACTATGAAAACCCTCAAGAGGTGTGTTTTTGAGGGGGGCATTTACATGACACTTCTCTCTCCTCCCTCCACCAGGCAGTAAGAGAGTTGGGGAGTCTGCAGGGAAGAACTTGGATAACCTGCTTCAGACCTCCAGCTACGTGGCTCATTTCCACTCCAAGTATCCAAGCCCGCAAGGAAAACCCTTATCAAAGCATAGGAATCCTTTGGGAGGAGGGGAAGCTTCCAGGACTTGGTCCTCACAGAATACCAACTGGAAATGCTGCATTCAGAGAGAGGTTCGCTCTGAAATGAACAGGCTCCAGTTTCTGAAGGCTTCTCCCTGATGGAAGCAGCATTTAAAGGTACCCACAGGGGCTGTGTGCTAGTGAGGGGCTGGGGAGGGATGCTGCTTAAAGGAGGTCCCTATTTCAACACCTGAAATGATGCTCTGCCCCCAAACAACGTGGTTAGAAAGCCAACACGATCAGCAGCTCTCTCTTTACTCCTGGAATTCCTGCTGATACACCACAGTGATGAAAGAGCAAACCACAATCACAGATCCAATGGTGCCCATAAATGCCCTAACTCAGTTGGTGTCTGGAGGCTCCTGAACCCCTCTTCTCCACACAAAGGATGGGGTGGCTTCAAGACACCTTCTCCTACAGCCCTGGGGAGGGAAGCAGCATGAGCTGGGTGGTAACTCACCCCTTGGGCAGTCCAGGAGCCCAAGGCCGGATGGTAGCGCTGGGGTGGATGTGGTTTGAACTGCCCTGACCACAACAGCATCCTACCCCAAAACCAGGCTGTTCAGACAGAAAGAGGCACTTTGCTTTGAAGACCATCCCTCTGCCACAGCAAGGCAATGCCCAGGGGAAATAAACGGGGATTCACATGGAAAATGGCACGTCTCCCAGGGCACGGTGTGCACCCCAGGCAACACTTCAGGCTTTATTCAGCATGAGAGGCAGAGACCAGGGAGGGAGGAGGGCTCTGAGCACTGTTAGTGTTTGCACAGCTCGGGCTCCTCCAGGGGTGGGAGGAATAAACCCAACCTGGTGCTCAGCCTGGAGAATAACATCAACAGAGAAGCTGTGGCTGCCCCATCCCTGGCAGTGTTCAAGGCCAGGTTGGACACAGGGGCTTGGAGCAACCTGCTCTAGTGGAAGGTGTCTCTGCCTGCGGCAGAGGGTTGGGAATGGAGGAGCTTTAAGGTCCCTTCAACCCAAACCAGGCTGGGATTCCATGACTCTCCTCCTGGAAATCCCAGCTTAGCAAATACACTCTTAAGGGACAAGCCAAAGCAGCACCAGTGCAGCCTCCTGGGAGCCCTGCAGGACTGGAGCCTGGAGTAAGGATTAAAAGGCTCAAACGTTCCTAAGAAAGGAATTTTGGAAGTCTATAAATCCTTTCTGCTGCCAGTTGATGTCCATATGCTTTTAAATGAAAGGAAAAATCCCCTGGAGATGACCCACAGAGCTGCTGGCTGGAGGGTTCTGGGTCCCATTCCCAACTGCCAGCCAGAAATTTTCCTTATCCATGTAAAGACCTTAAATATTCAAAGTGCTGTGTACTGGAGAGGCTGTAAATTAACACTTTCTCTCCACCTTTTCCTTGTGAAGCATTCTTCAATGGATCCTGTGGCCAGACATCACACTGCCTGTCCTAGTGTTCCCTCGCTTTGGGAAGCATTTAAGACAGCTCCTGCTCTAACAGACACTAAAATGTCTCATGGCAAAGGCTGAATCTGCAGCAAACAGCGCCCAAAGTGTTACTTACAGGAAAATGTGGTTTCTTTCTCAGTTTGGACTATCTGAGTTTGAATATTCAGTCCATATGTACCAGAATTGAGCCGTGGCTCAGTAGTTTCTCCCAGACATTAAGGAATTCGGATGTACAAAACTCCAGCTCGGAACAGCTTACAGTGCATTAACAAACACAGAATCCCCGGATCCCAGCCTGGTTTGCGTTGGAAGAGAGCTTAAAGCTCCTCCAGCTCCAACCCCTGCCACGGGCAGGGACACCTTCCACTAGAGCAGGTTGCTCCAAGCCCCTGTGTCCAAGCTGGCCTTGAACACTGCCAGGGATGGGGCAGCCACAGCTTCTCTGGGCACCCTGTGCCAGCGCCTCAGCACCCTCACAGGGAAGAGCTTCTGCCTTACATCCACCCTAATTCTCCCCTGTTTAAGTCTGAACTCATTCCCCCTTGTCCTATCAACATGTGGCTGCACTGGAAATCCAAGTGTCACTAAAGGGTTAACCCCACAAGTTTACACAGGATGATCTAGCATTTCCTATGCAAGAGTAAGCAGGACAGTCAGACCTGTCCTGGTCCCTTCCACTGTGGGAAGCCCAAGGCAGAAAGCAGAGGGTTACACTACCAGGACAGGCCCCCATCATGCCCCCTGATGGGATTCTCATCAACCCAAGCACTGAGGACACTGCTTCCCAAGAGCCCACGCTCCAGGGGAGCACAGCTCGTGGTTGCTCTGCTCTAAGCCCAGCACTGCAGCCAGGATTGGTGCCAGCTTGGTTCCAGCAGGAACCAGCACCCAAAACCTGACGTGAACAGAAACCAGGCACCACCCACCTTCACATCACTGCAAAGCACCCTTGGCTTGAGGCAGGCTGGAGCTTGGAAGCACTTTCTACAGCACAGCATGGTCTGGGCTGGAGTTCCCCAAGGCACAATTCAGCTCAACTCCGCGCAGGGTGAAGCCCAGCCCTGCAGGCCCGGGAGGGCTCTTACCGGCGGGGGGCTGCCCGTAGGACGTGGCGTAGGCCGTCTGCCCGTATGTTGCGGTCGTCTGGGGCTGGGAGTAGCTGACGTCCGTGGGTTGTCCATAGGTTCCATAGCTCTGCTGCCCATATGTCTGCTCCAGAGAGGACACACAGTTAACTCCTCAACACGAGACGCTCGCTGGTGGTGCAGAGATACAGCCAGAACTGGGGATCTGTGTTACCTGAGGTACTGACAGCGACCAGAGCCAAGGTGACTGAGAAAAAGCTTGGTCAATGAGGTTGCAAAGGCAGCTCCTCAAGGCCAGGACCAGAGGGGCAGCCTCTGCTATTGTCCCATCACATCTCTGCTCTATCTAAAGCATGAGAGCACCCAGTTCCTCCTAACTGCCTGGGCACCCATCAGGCACCACCCAAGGCTAAAATGAAGCATGTGAGCGGGACTACTCAGGGGGCAGAACTGGAGGAAGTAAAACAAGTCACCTCAGTGTCAAACTCCTTCAGTGTTCACTAGAAGGAACCTCTTTAAGGTCTCAGTGAGGTTGTTCTGAATGTTGTTCATGTCCACCAGCTGATAGTTTGGAAAACAGGAGTTTGTGTAGGGACCCAAGGATGGAATCAGCGGCAGCATCCCAGGACTTGCCATCACAAACCATCCCTCTGACCACTGCTCCCATCCCGGTGCCTTTGCACTCAGTGAGGATCACTTCTGGAGCTCCTTTCAGGTCTGGACCATCTCTAAAGGATGGCTTCAGCCACAGTGATCCCATTGGATCTGTACTGGATTAACACAGCTGGTGCTGCAGTTTTAGCAGCTCCAGAGCTACCTCAGCCCTGTGCCATGGACCAGCCAACTTCCAACAGCTTCGTGCTGCCAGCAGTTTGGTTTGGGGTAAAACTCCAGTTCTAGCTCAAGAAGTGACAGAAAGACAGCCTTAACACCCAGATTCCCGAAGGGATTTCCCGACTCCTGTAAGAGCCTGAAACCGAAAGGCTTTGGGATCAAAGCCTGTGTTACTCCAGGCAGCCTCCCTCAACTCGAGAGTAGAAAGCACTGATCGGATGGAGCATGTCACTGCCTGTGGAAGCTCATGTCACCCAGAGGCAGGAAACACTGGGAACCTCCCATAGGATTTGTCTACAGCTGAGCTGAGTTAAGTTTAGTCTCCCACTAGAGGATGGAGTTGAAACCTTCTGCTCTTGCATTTGCCACTCTGCTGCACTTGGCCTGTGTAACCTCCAAGAGGTAGCAACGGTTCTGCCTCAAAATAGTCACTTGAAAGTTAAGTGTCAGCTTTGTTTAAGCTGACCCAAATGTCCAGACTAAACCTTTCCTCCTGCCCTAACACAGGTATTATTGGCACAGGGCTTTCCACCCTGTGGGAACAAGCAGCACCCTCACAGGTTGTGAGTGCAGGCAGGCAGGTACAGGCAGCCTGAACAGGCCCTGAGGGTAGCTCCTGCTCAGTGACAGTCCAACGCCAACAGTGGGGTGGGTTTAGAACACAGATGTGCTCTTGGGCAGCAGGATTTTCACTTCAAACAGAAAACATACTTGGGGTGTGCATCCAAACATGCTTTTAGTCACTTGGACTCTAAAGATTAAACATAAGCCTGGTTTAATTCATCTTTTACAGATCACCCTCACTCTGCAGCCCAGCTGAGCATTAATACTCTTAGCAACAATACCTGCAGGAAAGCCTGTTCCTCTTCCTCCTGCCATGTCCCAAATGGTATTTCCCCCTTTTCTGTAGGGTTTTTCTCTCCTACAGCACTGAGTAAACACCCACCAACACAGTGGTGTCACACACATGCTGAGAATGAGGCTTTTCTCATCCCCTTCACAACCCCCTTAGGCGGTGTGAACACAGAGGGGACCGCTAAGACTGATGCTGAGGGTGCTTTCACTTTAAGGAAGCACTGTGGGAAGCTACAAGACAACTCAGGTTCCTGAGAGGTGCTGCTATTTCCATGGAGGCTACAGGCAGAATGATGGCTCAGAGCCCTTACAAAGCCCTCCCGTGCGTTACCTGGGTGCTCTGTGCGTAGCCTTGAGCTGGCTGAGGTGCGTACGCGCTGTAGCTGTAAAATCAATTGAGACACATCATTTCTGAGCCATGCAAATGCATCACAAGGTGATTTTCATGTATCCCACTGGCTTCTGCTGAAATCTTATGAATCTAAGTGCTAAAGGATTGCCAAACACACCCGAGTTAAGCCTAAACTGCAATTATTACATGCTTACAGCCCATCATTTCCAAGCAGAGAGAAGACTGGAATGCTACTCACCCCTGCTGAGCTGCAGCTTGGCTATAGGTGCTATAATCTACAAGAGAAAAAAGAAAGGGGAATAAAAAGCTTGACAAAGGCTTAAAATGAACAGCATTAAGAGCACAGCAGCTGGAATTTCCTCCTGCAGCTTGGACAGAGCTGCTATAAACCTGGAAAGCCGCCTTCCACAGAGGGCAAGGTAAATGCACTTTGCGGTCCTTGGGGAAGCAACAAAACCTCTCTTCCCTCCATTGTTAACTGCTGTTTGCAGCAGCAACTTTGATCTCAAATGACCCTGCTTTAGTTTAACTGCCACCCTGGATGGCACCCAAAGGAGGGGGCAGGAGGGTGCTCTGCTTTGGAACAAAACAAAGGCTGTGGGCTCACACAACCCCCTCTCCTGGGTTCAAAGGGCCCCAGGTTGCAGGCTCTGGGGCTGGAGAAACCACCATGCTTCACTCCGGCTTGCAAGGACACCAACGAATGGTTGGGAAGCTCGAGCACTTCTCCCTGGAATGCCCTCCCCAAAGCCCCGAGCTTCAGAAACATCTCTCCTGAGGTGCTTTGGTGGTGGGAACGGAACACGGGTCCACAAGGCAGTTACGAGGTTGTGTTTGACACGATGACAGCTCCTAAACGTACATTTTCCCTCCAGATCACCAACAACTCCAAACACCTACAGCCAGGGATGAATCCAGACCATTCCAGCCAGACTCCAGCTCCCCCGGGACCACCGAAATCCCATGGAAGGGGATCAGGAATGAGCCCAGACCTCACTCACATCTGCTGCTCAGGCCATGATGGAGCTGGAGGCAGAAGATGGATGTTGGAGCTTTCCTCGGGCAGAGACAGGGGAAGGGGTTTGGTGTCTCGATCACAGCCCCACCTCAGGGTGCACTGATCCCCGTGAGGAACGTGAGGAGCCCCTTATGACATCCTACAGCCTCCACTCACCACTAAGGCTGGGAGGACCACTTGGATGCCTGCTCCCAACTGAGCACCAGGAATCGCTTTGACCAGCCTGGTTTCACACCCCAGAACCTCCTGTTTCTTAAGGATTCTTCCCTAATAAAGCTTCTCCTCCTCCTAATCCTCAACATGAGCTTCCAGCTTCCCCTCCTTCCCGCTTCCCTCTGCTGCTGCTGGAGCTCAGAGCCTGGAAACAAGGCCCTAAGTGCCCAGACTCTGGTGGTCCTTTAGACAGGTCTCAATTACTCTGCCCTTACACCACAGCGTAGAGATCCAAACCAGAGCCCAAGGAAGATCCCAGAACACCACACACTAAACCACCAGCAGCCAAAAGGATCCCACACTCCCAAAGGCACAGCAGAAGCTACTAAACCCCCCTGGCACTATTCCTGCTTTCCTCACATGTTGTCGTGTTTAGCACTGAAACACTCACTTGTTGAGCTTGGGGGTGCTGCTCTTTGGGTTGTTTTCTTTCAGTCCACACACAGCTCTAAGCTCTGCTCAACCCCGACTGTTAAAACCCCTTATGCCCATTCATAGAATCACGGAATGGTCTGGGTTGAAGGGACTTTAAAGCTCCTCCAGCTCCAACCCCTGCCACGGGCAGGGACACCTTCCACTAGAGCAGGTTGCTCCAAGCCCCTGGGTCCAACGTGGCCTTGAACACTGCCAGGGATGGGGCAGCCACAGCTTCTCTGGGCACCCTGTGCCAGCACCTCACCACCCTCACAGGGAAGAGCTTCTGCCTTAGATCCATCCTGAACTTCCCCTGTTTAGAACCATTCCCATGAATACTCAAGATTCCCCCTCACACACCTCCCCCTGCCTCCCCTTCCCCAGCCTGTTCCCCCTCCAGCCACCACAACCTCTGTATTCCCCAATGAACCCCGTTTTCTGCGCCCCATTGGGTTACCAGAGTCCTCCAAGCTCTTAAGAACACGGGAGGCTGCTGAGCACGGACCCCCCACGGTACAGACCCCAACCAACCTACCACCCTCTGCGGACGGTCTTCAGCTCAACACCCATAGAACCAAGTTGGAAAAGCCCTTCAAGCTCATCCAG